TTTTTTTTTTTTTTTTTTTTTTTTTTTTTTTTTTTAAGGTTGCAGCAGCAGCCCCGTGTGTACGCCTGTGCGTAACCGGGAGAGGGGGAGTGGAGCGGGGAAGGAAGAGGGAGGGCGTGGGGGGGGGGGGGGGGGGGGGGGAAAGGGGTGAGGGGGGGGGTGTGTGCGGGGCGGCCGCGAACGGGACGCGGGGCGGTGCGGGGCGGTGCGGGCAGCGCGGGGCTCCGGCCGCAGCCATGGGGCCCCCGCGGCCCGGCGGGGGCTGAGCGGGGAGCGGAGACACCTGGCCCCGCGCGGAGCCCCGGAGGGGGGGGGGGGGGGGGAAGAAATTAAGGGGGAAGATTTGGGGGGGGGGGGGGGGGGGGGGGGGGGGGGGGGGGAGCGGCAGCACCATTATCCGGCCCTGCTCCGAAAGTGGCTTCTCCGCCTCCCTCCTCCCGGAGCCCGAGCGGCGGGGCGAGGAGATCCTGAGGAAGTGCGGGGTGAAAAAAAACCCAACAGAGAGCACCCGCGGCGGGCGGGCAGGGCTCGGCGGGCCGCGCTGCGAGCGGCCATCTCGGCTGGGAGCAGCCATGGAGTTCCCGGGCGGCCGCCCCTGAGCAGGGCCGGGACGGCGGCGATGACAGCGGCGTGAGGGGCTCTGCGCATCCCCATCCCGTCCCCGTCCCCATCCCACCCGCCCCGCCCCTCCCCGCCGCCCCCCGCTGCCAGGCGCAACTCTCCGCGGACGCTGCTCCGGCAAAGGTGAGGCTGCGCGGGGGGAGGCGGATGGGAAGGGATGGGGAGGAGGGGGGGGGGGAGGTGGTGGTGGGGGGGGGGGGGGGGGGGGCATTTCGCAGCGCTTCGCTTTTTTTTTTTTTTTTTTTAATTATTTATTTTCCTATCTCCTCTATTTATTTATTTATTTACTCGTCTCTCTCTCCTCCCGGCTGGGGGATGTGCGGCATTTCCAGGGGGCGGATTGCGCATGTTGGTCCCTTCCCCGGTTTTAAAGTGCGCGAGGCGAGAAGCGGCGGGGATGTAAACACGAACTTTTCCAGGTTCGCCCCGCAGCTTTTTCTTCCTTTTTTTTTTTTTCCTTTCCCCCCCCGCAACCCCTCCCCTTATATTCCCCCGAAATTAATGACTGCGGGAACGGTTGTGCGGACGGACCGCTCTCCGCGTTTCCAGGGGGCTCTGCGCGTTACCGGTGGCGGGGGGGTGGGGGGGGAAGCTCGGGGGGGGGGGCCGTAGGGGCTGTGCCCGGCGGCGCGAGGATTGGAGGCGTGGCGGCCGCCTCCTGCCCCCCCCTTCCCCCGCCCGCCCCAGCGCTCCGCTGCCCCCGGGGCCGCCCGGCCCCTTCCCCACCTGCCGCCATCGGGGGGGTGGGGTAGGAATAACCCTCATAGCTGTGAACCCCGAGCGCTTGCGGAGCGAGGAAGGGGCTGAAGGCATCTGGAGGAAAAACCCTCAGCTCGTCCCCCCGCTCTGCCCCCCGCACCGAGCGGTGTGGAGTTAGGGGCGCTGGGATGGTCGGGAGGGAGGGGGTTTGCTTGGGAAAAATCAGAGAGCTCCGGCTTTCCCCCGGGGGTGAGAGGAGATCGTAGGAACGGGGTTTGACCTTTAAGCGTTTATTGGCTACCGAGGTTAAAATAAGCTCAGATAGGAGCAAAAATAGCTCGCAGAAAGGTTACATCAAAGGTTACGTTTGTTTTCCTTAGGAAAATTGAGGCTGATCTCTAAAAATGAAGCCTTGGAGCACAGAGTGGGAAGGGGACGTGCGAGATTTCAAAGCGGGGAGATGAAATTCATGTGGCTGCTGATGGGGTTTGGGCACCGAGTTCGGAAAGTCGGGCAGGTGGCCCTGCACAGAGGCGGGCACAAGGCCGGCGCGGGGCACTGAGTGCGGGGTTTGGTGCGGGGGGCTCCGGTGTGGCTCAGCCCCGTGCGGTGCGGAGAAGCGGGATGGGGATGGCCCCTGGATGGCCCGGCTGATTGCCGGTGCTGTGTCGGGACACGCTGCAGGCAGAATGAGTAATGAGAGGGTAACAAGTCAGGAAAGGAAAGTTAGAAATGTGAGTAATAAAGTTAGAAAAAAAAGAAAATCCTCTGCTAGATTTGGGTCAAAAAAATGGCAAAGCACAGGAAGTAAATGAGGGCTTGTTTTCATTTAAATTTAAATGAGATTAAATGGTGCCCCTAGGAACCGAGACAGCGGCGCAGCTGGAGCGAGAGGCGGCTCCACCTGGGCGCGGGGCTGCGCCGGCAGCCCTTAACCCGCACCCCTCCATCCGCTGCTGCCGGCTTCGGGCTGCCCGGGGCTGCGCTGCGCTCCCCGGAGGGTTCGGGACGGAGCAGCGCTGCTCCCCCCGCCCCGGGCGCGGGGCTGCGAGTCCACACGTCCTGCTGGGCTGTGGGCACGCTGCGGGGGCATCCCCGCTCGGAAAGTACGTCGTGTCGTCGGGGAAGTGGGGCCGTCCGGTGCTCCCCGGTCGGTGATGAGAAAAGGCAGCGCCGCCAGGACAGCGGAGCGGGGCTGGAAGCTTCCCACCGCCCCCCCTCCCCTCCGTGAGCAGCTTTCTAACAACGTGCCGCTTTCCTAGACAGAGCCGGGAAACGGTTAACGCGGGGGGAGCGCCGGGGGCCGCCCCGTGGCTCCGTGCCCCCCCCTCAGCCCCCGCGCCGGGACACGCCGGGGCGCACCGGGATGCGCCGGGACGCGGCGGTCCGGAGCCGGGCGGGTGCGCGTGCCGCTGGGGGCACTATTTTCTGTTTGTGTTCCTATTTCTGTGCCGGAGGAACAAACAGGGAAGTGGTTTTCTGCAGTCTCATTGCAGCTCGCAAACACAGCGCATATCTCAGCCGCTGTTGTTGCTCAACTGTCACCGAGCGGAGGTCGCGGTGCGGGGAGCGCGGCGCATCCCGAGCGCTGCCACGAGCCGATGGTCGAGCTCTGCTTTTCCTGCGGATTGTGCGGATTTCTGTGCTGTGTTCCCTGTAGAAGCGACAAACCTGCGCAAATTTCTCTTATCCCAGTTCGGAACCGTTCCCTCGGTGACCCAAAGGGCCGCCGCACGCGGTGCCACCGGGAATCCCCGAACGCACGTGTGATGCACAGGGCGCGGAGCTCGCAGGGAGCTGGGAAACCTCCGCGGTTCCCCTGAGCGAAGGGGCTGAGAAGGGGCTGGCAGAGGGCGAGGGGACGGCCTGAGCCCTTTCCTGGTTACTGGTGGGACCTGGGGAACGGCAGGACAGGAGCTCAGGGTTTGGGCGGGTGCTTCTGAGTCTGCCTCCGCTTCTCTGCTCCTCGACTTCTTCCCGTGGGCCGGGCAAAACCGCATCCCCGAGAACTCGCCCTCGTCCCATAGCGGCGATGGGGATGCTTCACACCGGCACTTCCCTCGGCGGGAATGCTCGATGCAGAGGCACGGGGTATGGCAGCATCCCCATCCGCCGCTCACCCCCGTTCTGTTGCCCATCCCGCGGCTGTTTCGCCCCAGGTCCTGCCGATTTAAATTTGTTTAGGCTGATGGTTGGCCATCGCGTTCCTCGGTTTTGCATTTATTTGCCTTTTTCAGCTGGAACAAAGGCGATGCTGAGCATGTGTTAGTTCGCAATCAGTCCGGTTTTCGGGTTTGCAGGCATTGGCGCAGTCCAGTCGAGTTGCAGACACTTCAGGGGGATGTTCATTTGTTTATAAAAGAAACCCACATCTGTTTCTATTTGAATCTTTTAAGCGAGCATACATAGAAACCTTTCTCCTGGTTTCTGGCTCTGTAAAAGCCAGAGTTTGGGCCAAGTTTGACCTAAGAGCGACCTTTTCAAAGTATTACAAATTTTTTTGGTATTTGTTTATGACTTTAATAATGATGCCATGTGGAGAACGGGTCAGTTAAAGGTGAAATTAGCTCCTAATGTAAACGGAGGATTAATTTTGGAGCAATGCACTGCGTTTTGTGGAGACTTTGAATGGCTCTGTAACACAGAGTTGGAGGCTGGTGGGGGGAGGAACGGGCAGAGAGAGCTCCGGGGTGCGAGGGCTGGGATGCGAGCAGCAGGGGTGGAGGGATGCCAGCAGGGTGCCCAGCCACCATCAGACCTTATAGCCCTGAGCTCCAGGTGGGGAAATTGCCCAATTACCCTTTTTCTACAGTAAATTCCTCTGTTAAATACCGCAGTTTACTACTGTTTGGTGGGCTCTGGAAGATGAGCTCTTCAGGAAACTGCGTCCTGGAAGTTACTTTCTGAAAGGTCTGCCCGAGCTTTGGGTTTCGTCCCTTGTTTCCCTTCCTGCAGGAGGTTGGTGCTGCTGTGCTGTCCCCTGCCCGGGCTGGAGCTGCCTTTTGGTGCTGCTGTGTTCAGAGATGCCCATACTTGGCTCAGTCAGGGGTTTCATTCAGAGCAATTGAAATGCAGTTTAGTTCAGAGGATGCTCTCTTGGTTCCTGTCCTGTGGGGGCAAAAATGATTTGTTGAAATAGAGCTGCAATTTAACCTTTGGTGTTGAGCCGCTTCTGCATGTGAGTACAAACTCATCCCACAAATACCCCATGGCCACAAGCAGCCCCAGCCCTGACCCCTGTGCTGGGCTCTGAAGATGCATGGCAGGGCAGTGATGCCAATGGTGCTGTCTTGCTATAAAGCCAAAGATGGGAGAACTGGAAATGTCTTTGGGCCTCAGTAGCATTCCTGTGCTCCAGCTCAGGCGGTTCTTTTACCTGTTGGTGTTGGTTTATGGGCTGTCAGTGTTGGGCAGCTCCGTGGATCAGTAAGCACAGCTCCATCGCTGTGCTCCAAGAGCCAGCCAGTGGAGGCAAGCACTCAGGTAGCATTTCCACTGAAAGAAAGCAAGCTACAAATAAATCTGCCTTCAATATCCTCTTTCCCCAAGCGAAACCTAACGGTTGCTTGGAACTCAGCTGGTTTAGTAACAGCTGCTAACCTGGGAATCACTGGAGGAATGCATCAGCATTGCCATATTCTCAAGGAACGTTTTTAATGGCGTTTTGACAGGGCAATGCCTTGCAACAGGCCCAGTAGTGGTGGTGCTTTGTGGTATTATCCCTTCTGTTGGTGTGGTGAAGCACAGTGTGCAGATCGTTGGGTACAGGTGCTGTGAGGGCCTCATGGGAGCAGTGGGGAACTGTGCCCAAGTGGAACTCCTCTGGTGTGTGTGATGTGCTGCTGCTGAACCACACAGGGCAGTTGTGTCCTTCCCCTGGAGCACAGAGTCTCTGTGCCTCACGTTCTTACAGTGTTTTTACAGAAGGCACCAGGGAGGATTCCATGGGGTTGGTGCCTGCAACCTGTGGCTCTCAGCAGGGTGGTCCATGCATAGAGCTCCATCAGAGCCGTGGAGGTGGGGCCACGCTGATCACCACCTGCTGAACCCTGAGAAACCAAGCTCTTCACAAGTGAAAACCTATGCTTTCATTTTCTTTTTGTCCTCCTTCCCCCCTCCTCCCCCCCCTTTTTTTCCAAGCACCTGCTAACACAGGTGCTCACACAGGTGCTTCCCCTTCAGCTCTGCCTGCTCAGCTCCCAGGTAGAGGGAGTGCTGCTCTCAGGCATGCCTGCCTTGTTCTGAGCCCCCTGCAGCGCTGCCCTGTGCCCATCTCATCCAGGAGGTGCAGTGGCAGCAGATGGGAGCTGCCCAGCAGTGCTGGAGGAGGTCCGGGCTGCGGGAAGCATGCTTCAGGCTGCAGATACATCACAGCTCTTAAAAGAAGTCAGTGCAGCCCGAGTGGGAAGATGACTCAGAGGGTAAAACCCCAGGCTCGTTGCACAGGGGTCCTCTTGAATTCAGTGCTGCATGGACTTCCCCTGCAGAAATATGAAGAATGCACAGAGTTTCCATTCCTGTAGCTGTGCACTTCCCACAAGCACAGCCCGGTAGTTCTGGGCACAGCCTCCGGGCCCTGCAGCCTCGTGGGGCATCACTCAGTGTGGAGCTGCACGGGGCCCTGGGGCTGTGTGTGCTGCAGAGCACTGCTCTGAGCAGTCACTGTGTGTTCGCTGTACTGCCTGGGAGCAGGGAGAGCTGGGGAAGAAGTGCAGCCACGTGCTGATAAATAAAAACCTAGTGGGGATTTTGCATGTCCTTTTTGGAGCTCTGGGTGCCCTGTTGGGGGGTGGCACCCAGGGCAGGCAGGCAGGGGTGCGGAGAGGGGGTCTGGGCATGGGGTGTAATGTACTGTTCTTTTTTGTTGCAGATGGAAGAAAAACGACGGAAGTACTCGATCAGCAGTGATAACTCAGACACCACTGACAGTAAGACCTTTGATTTGAGACTTTGGGCGAGACAACTGAAGTGGTTCACCTCCAGGAGGGAAAGCGTTGGAATAATTACTTTGTAAAGAGCTGAGGAAGCTGTGTTTGCTCCATTTGCTGGAGATTTGCTTCACAATGAATTGCATGTGGGGTTGGGTTTGTCAGAAGTGCAGCACTGATGTACAGCAGAAGATAGCAATGGAGATGTTGGGCTGTAGGCTCCTTGTTCTGCTGGAAGTCCCCCACTCATGCAGGGAGCTGTGCCATGAGCCCCGTCAGGCCTCAGCTGAGCTGTGTTGGGAGGCTTCTGCTGGGGTCAAGGTGAAGCCCAAGCCTTCCAGTTCCCTTCCTGTGAGCTGAGGAGGGATGTGGGAAAAAGGACAGGGCTCAAGCCAGCAAAGCTTGCAAGCCCACGCTTGCTGTCAAGCACATACCTCACTTCATCCTCATTCAGCAGAGCGCAGAAGCATGTGCTCAACAATAAACATGTGCAAATGTGCTGAATTTTAGCTATAAATAGAGTGCTTTCCTCTCCTACTTATTGCAGGGCTTTGCCCGCTGCAGCAGCACTGCTGAACCACGTTGGGGGTTGAGGCATCTTTAGCATGGCATAAAACATCGTGCCCTTATCTCTGTTGGACTTTGATACTTGTGCTGCAGGTGATAGTGAAGCTGTTGACAAATGCTCTCCTGCAGGATAACTGTAAACAGAAGGATGACCTCTTTGCTGTGCCTTTGCTCAGAAGGCGTGGTGGTAGTGGTGATCTAAGCCTGTGTAATTGCAGTGCCACGTGGCACTGGTTTGGCATTGGCTTATAGGCACGGTGTGGTTTAGCCCTTCAGTGGTAAAAGCAATGGTCAGTAGACCTATTGACAGCCAATTTGGTGTGCTCCCAAAATACTGTTATGCATCTGGAGGGATCCAGTTGTACAAAAGATGCCACCATCAATCAGTTTATCATTTACTGTCACCAAATGAAAACAGCTTTTTTGTTGATGCTGGCAGTAGTAGTAGTAGTAACACAGATGAGCTGGAAATAATAACAGAGCTCCCATTGCATTTCAGGCTTCAGCAGCCATTGCCTCATGGAGGTGGTAGCAGCAGTGGTAGTACTGCACGAGTCAGGACAATGAGAGTCCATTCATAATAATCCTGGAGTAAAGCAATCCTAAATCCCACAGCAAATACTCTCCTACTACTGATGTGTGCTGTCGTGTGCAGAGGGGGCTGCTGAGCTGCACACAGTATGGAAGTTACTGATCCTGCTGCTGGCGTGGAAGTTTTATACTCGTGGTCACTATCTTTTCTGCCAGAGTCTGAAGTCCTTGAGTGGTTCAGGGCCTTCACTTGGAGCATCCGTGCTGGAACAGTTCAGTCTCCTCCCTGAGTGGTGATTCCAGAAGATCCCTGGCTTACTCCCTGATGGAAGCCATTTGTTCTTATGGCTTTGGGTAGTTCTGATGTCTTCTCTTGAGAACAGTTTTCTTAAGTTCAAGGGGCTCTGTTTCATCGTCTGTGGCATCAGGAAAGCGATGCTGATCTGTTCTGGTGAAGCACCCTGAGATGTGCACAGCTGTAATGCCACACTGGGGTTTATCACCTCCTAGCATTGTCCAGGGTTGGCTTGGGGCTGTAGGGGCAGCAGTGACACAGACAGTGATGCAGACAGAACTTGGTCTCTTCGTTGGGTAACATCTCTTCTGCCTTCTTGCAGGTCACACCACATCCGCGTCCAGATGCTCCAAAATCCCCAGCACCAAATCCAGCTGGTCCCGTCAGAAGGAGAAGAAGCCCTCTGAGGTATACAGTGTGAAGTGCTGCCCAGGACCTGATCTCCTGGTTCTCAGAGGGGCCCTGTTCATGCAGATGGGGTTTGGAGGTGGCCCTAGGCTGATATCCCGGGCTTGGTGCCCACCTGGTGCCCTTTGGCTGTGCCTTGCTGCCCTTGCATGGCTCAACTCCGTTTCCAATAGACATAGAAACTATACTGAGCACAAGCTGTTATTGTAGCAACTGCTCTGCTTAGTGGCAATCATCTTCATTCCCAGAGCGGTATGAGCAAAGCCAGAGTGACATTGCTCACACGTTTCCATCCAGACCAGTGTCCAAACAGAGCTAAGTTTAGCTGAAGGTGGAGCTGGCAGGGCTGCAGCCTCCCTGAATGCAGGCTGTAAATCCTGCCTCTAGCTGCTGCGCTGTGCTGCTCCTGGGCTGTGGCCTGGTGAGCGCAGACCTTTGTAACATCCCCCCTTTGCTGTGAGCTGAGATTTTGAGGTTTTCCTGTGGTCACTGCCTGAGTTACAGCTGTGCTTAGTTTTTATCGCTGTGACAGATTTACACTGATGTATCTAATGTGTTGGCAGTGGACAGGGGTTTAAAAAGCCCAGGTTGCTTGTGCCTTAAGGGCTAAGGAGCTGCTGTGACTGCTGAGGTACTTGGGAACTCTACAGCAAACAAAGAGCCCAGGTACAGGTGTCAGTGCCTGCTGACAGCTGGGAATGTTGCTTTGTGGTTATCAGTGTGTCTCTCAGAATGAGTGATGGGGGGGTTCTGTGAGCTGAGGCCCGGGTACAGAGACAATGTCTGGGGTATCTCCCCCTGCTGAGACACCATCACCCCTCCATGAGATGGCACTAAGGATGGGGGTGAGCCAGGTGTGCACCCTGGGGATGTTACTGGGGTGTGTCTGCGGCACCCAGTGGGACATTAGGGCCTGTGAGGACCAGGTTCAGAGCATGCAGCCCTGGAGCAAGCAAACTGGAGCAGAGCCTGGCAGTGCAATGCTGGAGGACTGTTCTGGGTTCATGTAACTGTTGAGGTAGAGTGATCCACAGCAGCACATTAGCGTTGGAACTGCAGGGACGTGGGGAAGGCGACACGCAGTGCCGCACACTGGAGATGGGCCAGGACGCTCAAGCTGACAAGCCAACTATAAAAGTTTAGTGGGAACCTGAGCAGATGTGAGCTGTCTGGATCTCAGCTGGAATTCCCCATCTTGCATCTTCCCTGCAGTTGCTGGGTGCAATACCAGCCGGGTTCAGCTCCGGGTGGAAGCCAAGGGCTTGGCTGGGCATCATTGGCACGGCCCAGGGCACACAGCAGGGGTGTGGAGGTCTCCTCAGTGAGTGTTGGTTTGTGGATTTCTGCTGCAGTAGTATCTTCCAAACCATCCCCAGCTGCCTCGTGTCCTGCTGTGGCCTTGGCACCCTGGGCATGCTGTGCCGGTGCTGGGCTGCAGCAGTGGCCCGTTTCTGTCCATTGGACGTGCTGCAGGGCCTTGTGCAGGGAGATTTTTGGGCATAGAGCCAGGTGGGCATCCTGTGCCGGAATGGCAAATGTGGAGAAAAGCAAAACTGTCAACACGCCGCTGTCAATCCTGCTTAACGTGAAATAGCCAGGTGCCTTGATCATCATACTGAGGATGGAGAAGGTAACAGGGAAAGCACAGTGAAGCTATTGGACATCACACGCTGCCATACAGCCTGCCTCGGTCATTTTGGGGTGATGCAGCTGTTTCAAACACCAGCCTAGACTCAGATTTGCACACGGCTTCTGGCTTTGCAAGGATCCAAGCAGCACTCTGTGCACTGCCAGCTCCCCAGCACAGGCAGCTCAGGCACAGCTTGGGATGCAGGGACAGTGGTGTCGGGGGACAGCCTGAGGATCACCCCCAACTTCTGCTGTCCCTCCCAAAGTTGTGTCCCTGTTTCCCTGCAAGAGGGCTAGAGAAGGAGCTGCCATCTGCATTCCCCTGGCAGCGTTCACAGGAGATAAAAAAAAAAAATCAGAAGCATTAGTGTTACATAGTTATTAGCTGGGTCAGGGGGTGATGTTTATTATGAAAGACTCTGTGAGAAGGGATTAACTACGCACATTAAAAACCACCCAATACGAGGCATCTGGAAAAACAAGCTTCTTTACATGGAAAAGTACTGAGCTGTTTGTAAACATCCGCGATGGTGGCCATTGCCAGGGAGGGTGATTATATTTATCTGTGCATGTCACAGGGCTCTGCCTGGGCTCTCTCCCGATGTGTCCCAGACTTTGGGCTCTGTGAAAGCTCACAAAGGTGGCAGCCGTCCCCGTGCCCACCAGGCTGCTGGCAGGGAAGCCTCGGGGCTGAGGATGGGGTGAGGCAGCTCCTTGCATCAGCAGTGCCTGATTGCGTTAATCTCCTGATTGCATTTATCTCATTAGGGCTCATTCATCCCTGGACATGGGCTGGAGAGAGCAGGGTTCCTGCAATCCCAAGTGCTGCTGCCCCAAGCAGTTCTGTGGGGTGCAGGGATGCTGCTGGTGGCAGTAGGGTAGAGGATGTGCTCTCAGCTCCTCCTGGTTCTTGATGCTGAATCTGGAGCAGGGATGAGATGTGCCTGAAGTATGGATTTTTGCTTCTCGTGCAATCCTGCCCTAGCCATAGGGCTGCAGGGATGCAAGCATAAGCCTCACTGGGTTTGATGGCAGTCGTCAGCCCTCTATCCTGTTTCTGACAGGGAACAGTTGTCAGTGTCTAAGCAGAGGATATAAGAACAAGGCAAGTGTGTAATGATGCTCGCCGGTTACGTCCTGCAGCTCCCAGCCATCAGCGGCTTGGGGACTCTCTTGGATGCTACATCTGAGTCACTGCATTAGCCAGGATGTTAGTCATTAGCTTCTGAACTATTCGGGATCCAGAGCGCTGCCACGAGCTGCACTGCTGGAATGCTTTGTGGGGGCAGAGGTACCTGCTGCCCTGGGTCGCCCTGCTGCCTGCCACAGCTCTGCTGCCAGCTCTCCCCGTGCAGCTGCTGCTCATCTCACCCAGTGTCAGCACTGCCCCTCTCGCTCAGACCCATCCTGTTGGGGATCTCAGGACTGCAGCTGCATGCTGTCTTCAGGATGAGAGGGAAGCTGTGGATTTATGCAGTTTACATTATTTTTTGCTTTTCTCCTTTAGATATGACTTCCGTGTTGGGAAAGATGTCTTTTTCCATCTCTTTACAAGCACTTAACCCTTTTTAAACGCCCTCATTTTTATATCATTTACCTTCTAGGAAGCAATTATTGTTGCACCGCTTCTCTCTGTGTTGAAATCTTTTCCCATTGCAGTAGGTACGTGCTGCTACAGGGCGCTGTGAATTTAGACCCTGGGTTCTCCGTGCTTTAAGAAAGACATTTGTAAGAGGCCATGTGGCCAGGCAGGGCTGGATATACTTCTACTGTGCTGAATGAAGAGAAAATATGCCACTGCTGAAAGGTTGGACTGCGGTGCCTTTGTTGCTTTTCCCAAGCCAGCGTGGTTCTAACAGATTAATGCCATTGTCTTTTGAATGCTGAGAAGGGCAGGATGAAAATGCTTCTAGTTCCTATTTTAAATTCTCTTGTTCGTTGGGTCTTTAACATTCAGTATTTCAAGAGGAAACAAGAATAGATTAAGAGATAGCGGCCTGGATCCCAAATGAACACGAGAGTAAGTATTTTTCTCCCCACAGGCAGATAATATCACGACTTACAGACACGCATCAGGCACTGCCACGTTTCTGAGCCCTGCTACTGCACATTGCTGCTCTGCTCCTTTTGGAACGGACCAGAAGAGTGTGACAGAATGCCTGGGAAATGAGACGGGGAGGGAGCTGGATGGGCAGCCAAGGGCTGGACCCGCAGAGGTGCCAGCTCCAGCTGATATGAAGACAGTTTGTCCAACCAAAAGATATTCCCAGGGCTCCCATTGTTCTCATTGTTTTCTCTTTCTCTCAAAATCCTTGTGACTCATGAGCTACAGCAAACAATTTTCTGCTTGAAAGAATGAAGGGCTCATTGCATCGCTGAAGGGAGGAGAGACCTGTGGGATGGGTGAGACCTCGTGGAATGGGTGGTGATGGAGGAGTGGTGTCGAACCAGAACCTCAAGAAAACCTTTCGTCTGAGCTTCCAGAACTGCTTCATGCTGAGAACCAGCTGTGGCTGGTTGTGTGCTGCACAACCACAGAAGAAACGGTGCCTAATGCTCCCAGTGCTGCTCTGGAGCTTACAGGGATGCTGCTGCGCACGCTGGGTGTCGGAGGGGGCTGCGCTCTACAGCGTGGAGCACTTGGGAGAGGTTCATTTTTGCAGAACCTTTGGGGGTGCAAACACCAGTGTGCACAAACAAGAACCTGTACAAGGATTGCCACCACTGTGCAGAACCCGGAATGGTCCCCGGGCTCGCTGCACTTCTCATAGCTAATTAAAAGCAGCGCTAGACGAGTGTTTCTTTAGTTTAGATTTAAAGACCAAAACAGATTCAGCTTCTTGGCTCTCGCCCAGCAGCTGATCTCATATAAGTGGAAAGCAGTTAGTAAAGGATGTGAATCTGATGTTCTCGGGTCAGCGTGTGGGGCTGGTGGGGTAAGTGGCAGCTTTGGCCCTGCTGTGTGCTGCCTCTAAAAGCACAGTCCTTGCGTTACGTGGAGCTGAGCAGTGGTGAGCTCGGCTCATTGCTGAATTGAGGAGGTTTGTAGGCGAGTGTAAAGACCTTGACATTGATATGGGGATCTCAGAGAGGCTGTGGAAAGATACAGAGGCAGGGCTGATGGGCAGAGATGAAATGCAGAACTGGAGGAGGATGCTTTTTGTGCAGTGCAGACCCACATTGGGCTGAGCCCTGGCTACAGTCCCAGGTCACAGGAGGGGACATTTGGGTTGCTGGCACAGTCACCCAAGAATACCCTTCTGGAGCCAGGTGAAGTGAGAAATTAGGATGTCAGAATCAGAAGTTATGTTGTTTCTCATTAATGTAGTCTTTGGTTTTAGTTGAGAGAGATCAATATGGCTTTTGCTTCACAACAGTGAACTACAGAAATAATAACAAAGATGGATATATCCTTGGGTAATGCGATGGCTCTTGAATTGCATTGATTTCTCATGTTTCTGGTCCTCTGGGATGGGCTGCCAGCCCAGCATTGTGCGTTGAAGGGATGAGGAAGTGGCAGCAGCGGGTGATAAGGGGCCAGTGGGCAGCAAATTACATGATGGCCCTGTCACCCTTTGGGAAGTCACCACTGCCCTGTGTGCCAGCGGTGTGGGTTGATGCCCTGTAGGTCAGCTGGAACCCAGTGGTGAAGCTGAGGAACACGGCAGAGGACAGATGGAGGTCTCCATGACGGGATTCTTTCCTGGAGAAGCTGTTGTGCTGCTCCTGCGGCTCTTGGCAGCACGTGGAAGGAGGCAGGTGCAGGTGTGGCTTCTCCACGCTGTTCAGCGGAGCATCATCCAGAGGTACCTGGTGCTCCCAAAGATCCATGGGACGTGTATGGCAGGACTTGACTTAGCTAACAAGAGCTACAGGAGCCTGTAACCCAACGGTCACGTTGACCGGGTGTTTCTGGATGTAAGAGCTCTGCTGGCCATTGGAATCACACAGTACCATGAAAGCAAAGGGAAGTAATTCACATCTGTAATTTTTGACTGCTGGTTCCATACGGTGTATGACAGTTGGCTGCTCGGTCCCTCTTGGTGCTGCCATTGGCTCCAGGTGCCACCGAGGTGAGCACCCACTGGTCCCTGCAGCATGGCTGTGGCACAGGGCAGGTGGCAGCCGGGCTGCTGAGACAAATTGTGGGTTCCTATGGGAGGGAAGAAACAGTAAACAGTGCTATTGAGGGAAAATTGCTTGTTTTCTGGTACACAACTTTCTCTTCACCGCCAGGTCCTCAGTTCATCAGTGCCCAATTTGTCCTTTATTTAGTTTTCATAAATAATTCAGAAGAGTTTGAGTAGAATAATTGAGTCTTTTCCCAACTCTAATCCCAGACAATTCAAAACAAAAAGACATTTAGATTACAATTTGTGCGTATTAGCTGTTGGGAGATTTCCAGACAACTGATCTGCTTTCCTTTACAATTTCTCTGGCGTTCTATCATTTCTAAAGTGTTCTGCTTTGATAGTTAATAATTTGAGCGGTTCCAGTTCTTCATGAAGAGACAGAGGCATCGCTGTGATAAAGTGCTGGCGTGCTCACTGCCTTTGGAAGTGCGAGCTTATCTGTTTTCCAAGAAGGACTAAATAAATGAAGTGGTAAGATTGCACATCCAGCCCGCGATGCGCCTTATCATCTTTGGGGAAATAGATACAATCGTGCTTATTTGGCTTAAAATTAAAACTCTGCTTCTTCGGGGATGCGAGCTGAAGAGTCAGAAGGGGTGGATTTGGGGAAGAGCCTGTGCTGTGCGGGGGGCAGGAGCTGCAGTGAGGGCTGTGCAGTGGTGAGGTGTGCGCGCAGTGTCCTGGCCGGAGCATGGCCGCGTGCTGCCGTGTAGCAGGGAGCTGCAGCAGGCTGACCTTGTTTTCTTCTTGCCTGGTACACCAACACGCAGCTCTGTGAGGATTATGACTTCTTGCAGACTCCTCGTGCTTAATTAGTGTTGATCTTAATCTTTTTTTTTTTTTTAAATGCACTGACAGCACAGCAAAGCGTTTCTGTGGTGCTTGTAGCAAGGAATTTGTTGCAGTGAGAAAGAAGCTTAGAGGAATTTGATCTTTCTGACATGGAGCCCCTGTGTGACTGCAGTATGGAGGCTGTCGGTTGTGTTCATTGAGGGATGTGCTGGGGCTGTGCTTGGGCTGCTCAGATCTGCTTTGTAGGGTTCTGAGCATCAATGGGATGGAGGTACCTGCACAGTTCCAGGAGGTCCCAACATAGAAAAGGTTGTTTATTGTGTTTAACTCTAATTGGGTTATCAGCTGAGGCTCTGGGGATTAAACAAACTGACCTAAATCCCAGTCTCAGTGGTCTTAGTTAATGTCTAGTTTCCTGCATCTTAGCTGATTTAGTTTCCAAAACACTCCAAAGAGTGTTATCATTGAATTGAAAATGTAAAACCGTCCTGTGGCCTCTACTGTGGCTCTCACAAAGCAGCCCTCGATCTGAGGCTGACACTGGAAACGGGCAAAGCAGCACTGAAGGAAACACCTGGTCTGTCCCAGTTCTGCAGAAGGAGCAGTGCTTGGAGCTCTGTGGTGTCCCAGTCTGGCTGCTGGCATCATTGACATCATTGCAGCTAATAGCAGATGGTAGAAAGGAGAAACCATCCATTTTCATTTACAATTTATTTTTACCCTGCAGTAGACAGGATTGCTCGCGCCGTTGCTGTCAGGCAGTCCCCTGGAAGGAAAGCCTTATTTACCGCAGTGGGTTATTTTGGAATGCTTTTCTCATCGCAGTGCACTGGGGAAGGCTCTGCAGGGCCAAACGAGAGATGGGAGAGAGCCCATTCCCTGCCCAGGAGTGGGGGTTGTCACACGGAGGGCTCTGTGTCTCCAAGCGAGTTTAGTGGGTCAGGAGAAACCTCTGCGTGTTTGGCTGTGGGCATGGACACAGGCATCTATATCACCATTTAGCCAGAGATTTTCCTGTTCACTAAGCAAAGAATTTTTTTCCAAGACTGTAAACTCAGCTTTGCCCTCGGGTATGAGGGAGACAATGAGCAAGTGAAACGGCATTACAGCTCAGCACAGCTCAGTGATGCCTTTGTGTTTCCACCGACCCATCAGGCGGCGGGGAGCCCATCTTCACATACCAGCTCCAAACTCCTCACCCAACCCCAGGCTGGTTTTCTGTAGCCATGGCTCCAACTGTGGCCGGAGCAGCAGAGCTGCTGTGGGGATGTTCTGATGCTGATGCTCTCCACTGCAGCAGTTCTGGAGATGGAGTTGCTGTCAGCTGTTGCCATATAAATCTCTCCAAATGCCTTCTGTTGATTCCAGTAACATCTGGAGTTACCTGCAGGTGTGCAGTGCCAAAACTGGGGCAGGGTCACCCAGTGAGGTGGGCTGTGCTTGCATGCCTGTGGGTGTGCAAAAGCTGCTCATCTCCTTTCATGTCAAGAGTAAGAAGAGCATCTCTTGCCCCAGTTAAAGTGGTAGAAAGCCCGTTGCTGTGAGCACCCGGAAAAATGCAGCCCATCACGGCGTCAGGCCAACGTGGCACATCTGTCACACTGTTGCCCATGGCCATGCCCCATTTCCTGCCCTCCACCCACTGTTGGTGTTTTCCCTCTGCAGGTTTTCCGCACGGACCTGATAACAGCCATGAAGATCCCTGACTCTTTCCAGCTCAGCCCTGAGGAGTACTACGTGCTGGCAGACCCCTGGCGCCAGGAGTGGGAGAAGGGCGTGCAGGTCCCAGCCAGTGCCGAGGCCATCCCTCAGCCCGTGGTCAGGTAAGCATCCCTGCGCCTTGCGTGCTCGTGGCTGGGGGTTCTGAGCTGGGAAAACCAGAGGGAAGCTGTGAAGATAATATTAGGTTGGGTATTAGGAATGATTTCTTCTCAGGAAGAGCGGTCTGGCATTGGAACTGGTGGGGGTGTTCCAGAAACATGGAGATGTGGCACCTGGGGATGTGGTCAGTGGGCATGGTGGGATGAGTTGTGTTGGATCTGGGGATCTTAGAGGTTTTTCCCAGCCATAATGGTTCTGTGATTCAGTGCTCAGAGATGCGGAGCATCTCTCGTATGGAGAAGAGCTGAGGCTGTTTGGCCTAGAGAAGGGAGACCTCACTGCAGCCTTCAGAACTTGAGGGGTGCTTGTGGACAGAAAGAGGGTGACTTCTTGCATGGACAGTTAGCAATAGGACAAGTGAGGATGGCTTTAAATTAAAAGAGAGGAGATTTAGATTGCATATTAGGAGGACATTCTTTACCCAGTGGTGGACAGTCACTGGCATTACTGTGCAGAGCTCTGGATGCCTCATCCCTGGGCAGTCTGGCCAGCAAGTGCAGGGTGGGACTGGGGAGGCTGTGAGGTCCCTTCCAATCCATCCCCATTCTATGGCTATGATGGAGCTGTATGTCATGATGTGGGGGTGCAGGAGCTGGCCCCTAAATTAAAAACTTCTGTGAGCTGTTCTTCTGTGTTGTGAATGTGATGGGGATGCAGAGATTAGAGGGCTGGGGAGCCCAGCATTAGTCAGGCATTTGCGGGACCTTGCATTGGCCTAGATCGGGACCTTGTTAGCTATTTTAAAATGGGGAAGTTTAAAGGAGGCACTAAAACAGCTGCTGAGGCACAAACAAAATATGGACGAGCCACTGCCCCATAACGGCCATGGCTGAGGATGCCATGGGGGGAGCATGGGGAGCCATGGCACAGGCACTGTGCTGCTGTGGGGTGGGCTGGGGCTGTGTGCTGCTCACAGTGAGGGGTTTGGGGCAGCACTGGTCCCATGGAAGCTCCATTCGTCCACAGCTGCTCTTGCAGCTGCCGGCCCCGGGTCTGATGCAAACTTTTGTGCATACCCCCCCCAACCCCCCAGCTCTCCCCAAGGGAAAACAGAGAAAGAAATGAAACTTTAATGAGTCTGAACACATCAAAAGGGAAGTTGTAAAGGGGGCTGTTGAGTTGATTTAATCCTTAAGAAAAGAGGAGGAGGAAAAAAAAAAAAAAAAGGAAAAACAACAACAAAAAAAGCAGCAAGTAGAATATCTTTTTAAAGTTGTCTTTGATAGCTAACCACAGCCTGTGCTCGTGAGTGCTCTGCTCCCCAGCTGAGGATCATGCTGGGGCTATTTCCAGCTGAGAAGTGATAGCTTGGCAGTGCCCTGCTGGAGGTGCCCTTCTGCAGCTGACCCCAGCAGCATCTGCCTGGCAGTGCTGTGTCTGCTCCTGGGTAGCCGGCTGTGAGCTCTGTGGGCAGATCACACCTCTGTCTGCTCCCCTCCCCTTGTTCCCAGGGCTCCTGAGCGCTGGCAGCTCTGTCCTGCTTCCTGTAGGGTTTCTTTGCAGACCAGAACCAAATCACAGAGGCCTTCTGCTCGTGTTGCTCTGTCTCTGTGTGGGTCTCTGCCCAGAGGACAGCTGCATATTTCCCACCGCAGCAAGATGAGCTCATGGCTGTGCAGGTGCCTTTTCTGATGCATCCGTCCCTTTTCTGGCAGGGCAGCACACATGATGTGGGGTACTCTGTCCCTCTGATAGCATCACTGCCCTAAATCCTACATCACTTTAGTGCTGTGGGCTGGTGATGCACTGAGCTTTTTGCAGGCTGGAAGCTCAGAGCCCAATGGCTGCTGCTCCTCCAGGGCAAGAGCTGGCACAGCTTCAGGTGCAGCACTGCCAGGGGCAGCATTTTGCTTTGTGCCACATCTCAATGTGGTGTTACAGAGCATTGCCCATAGAAGTGGGGGGAAATGCACTGAAAGGTGCGTTGCACAGAGCTGCTGCTCTTCTAATCTCTTGCCTGGGTGCTCAGAAGTGCACTCTTCCTCCTTGCGCCTTGCCTATAGGTTGTGCAAATCCAAAGCTGAAAATGAGATTTTGAAACGTTTTATTTTGCTGGAGCTCTAAAATGTCAAAGCTGTGGGTGAAGCAGAAGGGGAAAGCGCTTTCTTTTAAGGCATGCTTTCCTCAGAAAGCAGCTGCCTGGAAATGCCTTCACTGAGAACCGCCTTAACACGGGGTCCGTTGCAGACTGATGTGAGGCACAGGGGAAGAGCATCCTTTGGCCCCCGTGTCACTGTGCTCTGGTGCCCGGGGCTGGATGCCACCAGCCATGTGTGTGCTGCCTGCACAGCAGAGCCGCTGGGCAGCGTGGAACATTGCATGCTTCCTCACCACAAACCTGACTCATCAGTGCTTAAAAGGAGGTTCATTTTATGCAGCAGCTTGCTTGGGAATTGCCCACAGCCTCAAGGGCAAAGCTTGGCTCTAAAAGCCATTGAAAGGCAAATGAGAGCAGGGAAAATGAGGAGTTAGTTTCTCCCAAGAGTGGTGTTTCCCATTCCTCTGGGTCCCGTAGCCAGGAGGTGCCCTGGGCAGCCCAGTAGCAGGGCTGAGCCATGTAGCCCCAGGATGGGTTCACAGATGTGGGAACCCCAGCACAGACATTACCAGGGTGCTGGATGCAGAGTGGGACCATCACAGATTGAGGTTAAAGGCAAGCAAGTAAGGAAACAGCACCGAATGCAGTTATCCTGGTGGTCTGGGAGCGTCGAAGTGTGGGGACCATTCAGTCACCAGCTGGGAACAAGAACCTTTGGGGCAACCAAAGTTGTTCCAGGGAAGGTTCAGGTTTGGTATTAGGAAAAATTTCTTCTCTAAGCAGTCAGGCACGGACACAGACTGCCCAGGGAGTGGGGGAGGAACTGTTCCTGGAGGTGTTCCAGAGCTGTGGTGATGGTGGCACTTGGGTACATGGTCATTGACCATGTGGTGGGGGTGGTCTGGGTTTGATTTGGGGATTTGAGAGGTTTATTCTAACCTCAGTGATTCTATGGTTTTATGAGCTCTACCTTTCCACAGTTATGCCATGATGAGCTCTGGAGGAAGATGCTCTTTGCTTTCTGCATGGTTTCTTATATGGGACCACAGAGCCCTTCCCTCACAGTGGGTACAGAGCCTGACCCCAGCTCATCCTGGTGCACCAGGAGCATCGTTCCATGTGGCACTGGCCCCTATCTCTGGTGCTGTGCACCTGTAAGTCTTTAGTTCCTTATTTACTGAATCGTTTAACATCTCCCTTCCCTGAGCTGACAGGGATGTGGGCAGGACCTTGAGGCAGCTCTGGGAGCTCACGTTAAGCTCCATCAGTATGTGCTGTATACTCTGCTTCCTGTGAATGTGCGCACAGCGGGAGGACGAGCAGGAAGGCTGCTTCTTGCTGGCAGGGTTCCCAGATATTCTTGGCGTCGCAGATCTCTCCTTGCATCGTTGCTGTGGCCCTGTTTGAACAGAAAACAGAAAGTGCTGTGGCAACAGGAAGGAACAAATGCTGGTGGTGGGTCAGTGGGAGAGGATGAACGGCTGCCACGCCATCCGGGCAGTGATGTGACCGTCCCCTTTAGTCTCCTCTATCCCATGTCCTCCAGAAGCACAGCTGCAGGTGGAGCAGAGCTCTGGCTGTGCTGTATGATGCTGCTGTGGGAGCCCTGGGCAAAATGTGGGGCTGCCAGGTGTTGAACCCAGGAAGTGCCCCAGCATCTACCACAGTTCTGTTGGAGTATGGAGCCAGCACACTACGTCCCAGCCGGGGCTGCGCTTCCTTCCCTCCTTCCTCCCATCCCTCCCTCCCTCCCTCCCGCAGCCGGCTGCCTGCTGCCTGTTGACTCATCAGCAGCTTCCCTCGGGCTTTGCTGCAGAAGGAGCAGGCAAGATTCTGCAGCACTCTGTGTGTCTCTTGGAGCTGTGCTGTTGTTTTAACATGAGATGCCTGGGTTGTATTTTTTTGTTTGTTCGTTTGTTTTTCCCACCTACTGTGGTGAAATTGTGTGAGCTCAGGGCTCCGTCAGGTCCGTGTGAGTGGGTTCCTCTCTCAGGAGCTGCAGCCCCAGTGGGGGTGTCAGGTTTTGGGGTCCCCACCGTGGGAGAAAAAGCACAGGAGCATCAGCATGGGCTGGGGCACAGCACTGATTTTGTATCCAGTGCTTGGAGAGGGGATGAGCATGATTGCCTTCCTTTGTTACTTCTAATCATTTCTGCTTTACAGCCTGCTTGACAAATCCTCAGGTATGCTTTCAGTGAATCCTCACCTTTATTAGTTTGTTACGGGAAACATGCTAATCCAGCATGTTCTTGCCTAGTGCTGAGCTACTTGGATGTGTGTTCAAAATATTTGCTTGTTCTCCCTGTGGATGTCTGTGACTTTTGCTGGATGTGGCACATGGCATATCCCAGCAGTAGATAGATGGAAGGAGAGGGCTGGTTTCCACCAACCTTGGGGAGCTCCGTGGAGTCTCCACATCTCATTCCATCACCTCCCGTCTCCATCCTCTACCTCATCCCTTCCCCACCCAGAAGTGGGTCCGAGCTCTGCTGCAGTAATTATAGCTCCATCCCCTCATTGTGGGTTAGTGCGCCTTGCATCCCTGCTGAGTAAGATGAGAAGCTCTCGAGAGCCCCTCGGAGGTGTGAGAGGGCCGGGATGGTCCAGCAGCGGTGATGATGGGATCAGCTGTTCTGTGTCCAGAGCTGCTGTTGGTGATCCCATGGAACTCAGGTGAGAACTGCACTTCTGTGAGCTGAGCTGAGCCTGCAGGACCGTGTCTGCTGCACCTGGCTGAGCTGAGGGAGGGCTGGTGGTAGATTGGAGTTTCTGCAGTGCATTTGAAGAGAATCTGGAAGATGCACTGAGACACGTGTTGCTTTGCAGCAGTGTGGTGGTGGGAAGGCAGAGGTTTCCTCCAGGCCACCCTCTGCCTCTGGTGACTCGGAGCAGGGACTGTCGTCC